GGATAACATGGAGGAAAACGGTCGTGTACGTGGTGGGCTACTGAGGTTCCTTATCTCCTGGGATCCATATTCTGGCACTGACGAGGGATGGACCCCTGACTTTGTCTCACGGCGCACACACACGCCGTGTCCGACACGACCCCGAGATCGATCGCTTCCGACCGCTACACGCCCCCCCGACATCAGAGCAAGCTACCTCTTCCGCCTCACAGGTTCGAAACGACACGGCGGAGGTTAGACCTACAGGCCCACTTGGGGCTGACGAGGAGCAGGAGTATGTAGACGCACGTGCTTTTCTACAGATCCTCCCCGCCCGCCCATCCCTGTGCCGTTAGCGCCTGAAGTTTTGGAGCGCATTGCGCAAACTCGCGCGCAGACACACGTCATAAGAGCTGCTAAACTCCAGGAAACGAGACAGGCTCGCTTGCGTGAAGTAGCCCCTTGGAACCTTGATCCTAATTTTGGCATAGGCTTGTTCGGATAGGCTGTTGCCTGTCATCTATCATGATTTGAGCGGACAAGTGGAGGCACAGAAGAGCAAGTGGTCGTCGTCTCCTGTACCGCCACTCACCCACCTCTCTATATGGTTGCTCGCTCTCTGGTGGCAAGCAGTACGGGGGGCTCTACGGCATGATGACTCAGGACCATGCTGTTGCTGCCTTCGTTGGCCTAGATTGCGTTCTTGGTGCTTCTCTCTTCGTTTGACCTCCAGCTGCCGCCCCAGTTCGATTGGTTTCGGGCGCCGTACCAGGCACGGCGAACCTCTCTCGGGGCGGGCAGCCACGCGCGCAGGCCCCACGCGTATCGGGCACACCAGGCCCGCGCCCGCGCATCAGGCACACCGGCCTCCACACTGGGACTGGGGGTGGGATTGGTACGTGGACGGGGACGGGGTTTCTACTGTGGCGTTGGAGCAGGCACTGGTCGCAGGTCGAGCGAGCGAAAATCGTGCATTCCCGCTGGCCCCTGCCTCGCACCCGCCCCCGCTCAGCTGCCCTTTCGTCAGCCTCTCTTGCCTCTTGGTGCGTCGTTTTTCGTTCGATCTCGAGCTGCCGCCCCAGGTCGAGAGGTCTCGGGCGCCGTACCAGGCACCGCGAACCTCCTTCGGGGCGATCAGAGACGCGTGCAGGCCGTGCCCTCGCATCGGACAAGCCAGGCAGTTTCACCTTCCCCACTTTCCCTGGGTATAGGTTTGTTGGCGGGGACGTGGTTCGCACTGCGGCGATGAGGTAGGTATGGGACACAGGTCGAGCGTGCGAAAATCGTGCACTCCCGCTGGTCCCTGCCTCGCACACGCCCCCTTAGCTGCCCTTTAGGCCTTTCGCAGGCTATCTCACCTGCTCCCCTCTTTGTTCAGCCTCCTCTTGCCTTTTCCCAGCTCCTGTTGCGTTGCAGTGCGCCTTGAGCGCCTTCCGACAATATGGGGGTGGTACGGGCTAGGTAACGGGGGCGGGGAGATTCACCAAACCTTGGCGCCCGTGCTGCTAGATACCGCGTGTTCCTGCCAACAGCTGGTGAGTGCCGCACCAAGCTGACCGTCTCCTCGGCGAATCAGAACGCAATCCAAACATCTTCTCCTCCTCCTCCTCCTCCTCCTTTTCCTCCTCCTCCTCCTCCCCCTCCTCCTCCTACTTTTCCTCCTCCTCCTCCTCCTCCTCTTCCTCCTCTTCCTCCTCCTCCTCCTCCCAGAGGTGCCCTCCCTGCTCCTCCCCCTCGCCAGCGCACACTGGGTGCCCGCGAGGCCTGGGCGGGCCCCCGCGCCGTCCGCCGTTCGGCGCGCCGTTTGACGCGCGGGGCTTCCACGCGGGATTGGGATCGCGCTAGGTCGTGCTGCGGCGGCGGGGGGGAGGAACTGGGAGGACGGGCGGGAGAAGGAGGAGGAGGAGGAGGAGGAGGAGGAGGTGGAGGTGGAGGAGGAGGAGGAATAGGAGGAGGAGGAGGAGGAGGAGGAGGAGGAGGAGGAGGAGGAGGAGGAGGAGGAGGAGGAGGAGGAGGAGGAGGAGGAGGAGGAGGAGGAGGAGGAGGACCAGTGTTGACCCGAGACTCACCAACAAAGTTGGAATCAGCCCTCCCTCCAAGCTCCCTCTTCATACGCCCCTACAAGGATTCATATCCACCGAGGGATGTGCCCCGTTGGGAGCCAATCGTTTGAGGATCCTGAAGCTTTCCAAACAAAAAACTACGATCGGGTCTTCAACGCAACGAGGCAACCTGACTGTTGCGCCTTGACGATCCCGATTCGTGCCGGTACACCGTGAACTGGGGTTTCAGCGCCGCGAATCAACGTAACTGTTGCGCCGCATTAGTTCTAAACTGTTCAAGCACACCTTTTCTGGTACGTTAGACATACAAGCCGGCGAAGCGCTTGCAATCTTGTTTAAACGAATGTGCGCGGCGCTTGGGCGAGAGCCAAATTTCGCAAAGGATCCGCACTCCATCTTCGAACCGGCCGCAAATATTTAAAACGAATGTGCGCGGCGCTGGGGCGAGAACCACATCTTGAAGACCACCCACCCGCTCTCCATCCAAAAACGTGTTGCAAACCTTTGAAATTAATGTGCGGAGCGCCAGGGCGCGAGCCACATTCTGAAAAGGTACCGCCCTCAATCCGTGAAGTTCTTGCCATTTTTGTTCAACGAATATGCGCGACACTAATGCGAACACCATATATTTAAAACGGCCCGCCCTTCAATCCGTAAAACTCAGGTGCACTTTTAGAACGAATGTGCGCGGCGCCAAAGCGGGAGCTACATTTTGGAAGCGGCCCGGCCTCAATCCGTACAGCAACTCCCACGTTCCAAGCTTTAGGATCACAACTTGTCAGAGAGTCTCAGGCGAAACGCCAAACCCATCTTTTCGACTGGCTTCGGGGTGCGACAGGGAGGAGATATTTAGACGGAAAAATCGAGGAGGCATGTTAATGAAGGGGCCCTGGGACACACAAATAAGTACACACACAATGTTTCCGGGTTTTTGTCTCCCCCCCCCCCTCCCATAGTTTCGGGTATTGTCTGGGGAATCGACGATGAAATTGTGTCTGTGTGTTTTTTCCCCTCCTGAAGTAAGGTAGGTTCGGGTGGCTAGAGGCGCTCCCACGCAGCACTGGCAAAAGACACGCAAGGACTTGAGGAATGAAGGAGGAGAAGGGGGACCATCACATTCTCAGGAGGGGAAGGCAGAGGGTTGGCCGACCCGACCCAACCCTCTACCTTCAGGGGTGACATCCGATCTCCCTCTCCCCTACCCGCCGACCAGCCGTGCTGCGCCTTCCTTGAGGCGCACGGCAGCAGGGAGGCAAGGAAATCGGGGGCCCCCATCCGAGGCCAGAATATCTTCACTATCCTACCGTCTCCTTCGCTGACAGTCGATCTATCTCCATCGCCTGCGCCCCTGCCTAGAGGAGCTCGTGGCGGAATCGGCTATCCGAGACGGGATTTCTATCCAAATCACAAACCCTACTACGGCCTAGAGGCTTATTCGGGAAAACGAACGAGGACCCCAAACAGTGCGAGCACACGGGCGGGCGAGGGGGCCCCAGGGGGGGCCCGCGGAGAGCCCGCCCAAGGCGCGGATATCTTCGCGCCCGCGCCGCACAGGGAGCCACCTACAGCTTGCGGAGGCTGCTACGGTTACGAAAGCCTCCTTTCACAATAGGCCACATCTCCAAGGCCCTGAAATCTACCTCCATGCCGTCCGAGTTGAACAACAATATCGTGATGATGCTCTTCCCAGGGTGCTGAAGGAACTGGTGAAATCTCTTGTCTAACTTGGCACTGTCACGGGCGTCCGCGAAGTCCTTCCAAAATCCACTGTCATCTCTGTATTGCCAACGCGGTACGGCTTCGAGAGTCGTGAAGGTGGTGTCCTTCAGCTCCTTGTTGTCCGCGTTGGCGTTCGATGCTACTGCGGCCTTCGGGTCCATGCCGAGGCCGCTGTGCAGCGCCACCTCGCTTGTGGGCTCCACCGCTGTGTCCCCGAAGCGGTACTCCTGGACTGTGGTGTCGCTCTCGACGATCTGCTGCACCGGCGGTGCCTCAATGGCCTCCTGCAGGGAGGCGTCCTCCAGGTTAGCGTTCTCGGTGACCTTCGTGATGAAAGACGAGGCGGAAGCAGGCAGTTTGTCCACAGCCTCGCCCTCGGTATCGAAGTTGCTGTGCATCGCCGCCTCGCACTGCTCGAACGTGTCGTTTCCGCCAGTTGTGACGATCAGCTCGTTGCTGTCCACGTTGGGCGGGTTTGCCTCCTCGACATTGTTGACAATGTTGGGGTTCAGCTTGTCGATGCTCTCCAGGGTCTCGAAGGTGGTGTGGCTCCGCTTCCTGCTGGCCACTTGGGGCGTGGCGTCCATGTTTGAGCGGGACTCGGTCTGCTGCGCCTTCGGGCTGTCGAGCAGAGCATCTAGCAGTTCCTCCTCCACAGGCGTAGAGCAATCTCTGAACTCCATCTGCACGAGGCCGTACTCCCAGAAAGAAGGCTCCCAATAGGATTCGATGAAGGTGTCGACGGTTGTGTCGCGCAGGGCAGGAACCTCCACGACAATGTACTTGGTCCCAGCATGTGTAGGACCGCGTTCGAGGCCTGCCTCGGACGCCGCACTGTCTGGCTGTGGAAGCCCAGGGGGAGGATGAGGCCGTGCCGGTGGTGTTCTCTGCAGTGCGGCGCACAACTCCAAGCCAGATCGCTGTGCCCTGCGGGCCGCAGAGCGCTTGAGCCGAGATCGCCGCGCCATCGACGCCGAAATATATGAGGCGGTCACCTTGCAGGCGGCACGCTCCCAGTCGCACATCGGCTTGTGGTACGGAAACTGGCGGAAGGCTAGCGGGCACCTGGAGCCAATATGGTTGCTTGAGCCAAGGAGGAGAAGGGGGAGGAGGGCGAGGAGGAAGAGGAGGAAGAGGAGGAGGAGGAGAAGGAGGAGGAAGGCGAGGAAAACCAGGGAGAGGAGGACGCGGGAAGAGGAGGTCCTCCGCTTGCTCCTCCGCCCCCGCGCCGAGCGCCGCCTGCGGGATCTGCTGGCGCGCCAAAGAAGCGCACATGAGGCAGAACTTGGCGCTGATGAGGACGCACGCGCCGCAGACAAAGAGGCCGATCTGAGACGCGCCAGCGTCGTCGTCGGTCGTCGTCGCCCTCCTCGTCGCCGCCTGTTGTCGTCATCGCCGTCGTCGTTGCCGTCTTTGGTTGCAGTGTGCACCCTGGCACATGTTGCAACTCGCTGGCGAGGAACACACACACACACACACACACCTGGAATGTGCTTAAACGACAATGCCGAAAATATTCCAAGTCCAGCGCTTGTTCAATACGGTCGGGAAGACTCGTGCTGGGCGTGTCTCGCTGGCGGCCCTGGCGACACGCTGTGCCTGCAAACGGACAGCGTGTCGCTCCGCTCCGCGGGGCGGGAGGCTCGGAAACGCTCGGGGCGTTGACGCCGAGGGCCGGGACGTGGATAGCGTCTCGCGCCGAAGCGTGGTGGGCCAGAACTTGCGGAACGAAATGCTATCTAACAGTTCCCGACTGTGAGCTCCAGGTCGGCAAAACTGGGAGACGCGCGAGCGCAACGCAACGCGCATCCAACTCTCGCAAGTCAGCTCGTGGAGCGCACCGTTGACGGGGAGACTTGCCGGGCCTCTCGAGCCCCTGGTGGCCCTCGGGGCCCCCTCGGAGCCTTCTTGGACTTTTGGGGCCCGCTTGGGGCCTCGGGCCCCAAACACTCACTGTCAGGAATTAGTGCTTAGCGTGTCGCGGCGGCGGCCCGGGCGACACGCTATGCCTTGCAAGCGGATAGCGTGTCTCTCCGCTCCGCGGGGAGGCAGGCTCGGAAAAGCTCGGGGCGCATGGTACAAACAAGTGCGCGCGATCCCCAGGCCCCCAGAGAACGCATTGTTTTGAATTGACCGTACGCTGCTTTGAAATGAGCGTGCTGTATGTTGTACTGTATTGCACTCGCGCGACCGAGGATGCCAAGTGCCGACAAATATAATATAACTCGAACTGATGCGCGCGATCTCCGAGGAGCACCAGGGCAAGCCTCCTCGCGCTCGCGCGATCTCCAGGGAGCTCGGAGGCGAGCCTCATTCCTCCTCCTCCTCCTCCTCCTCCTCCTCCTCCTCGTCGTCCTGCTCCTCTCGTTCTCCCTCCTCCTCCCCCCTCCCGAAGGTCGCCGTGGTCCTGAAGGAGAGGCTGGGCGAGCAGGAGCTGATCTGCCCGACGAAGTCCAAGATGCTGGCTGGCCTCGGACGCAGCCTTGGGCGCTGGGGTGGCTGCGGCGCTGGGCGCGGCGGCAGTCCCCTGCCAGCTGGCGCCCGAGGCGGTCGACCTTGGCATAGACATGGCGGCGGGGCGCAACTGGGTGTGACGGAAGGCCCAAGGTCCGCCACATGGCGGGCGGGTGCCGTTTCCGCCGCATCCCCTGGAAGTGGGAGCGGGCGGCCCTGGTGCGCGAGCCGCGCGGGCTCCCGAGCATTGGTGCGCTGCCGCCAGACGTTCGCCCTGGCGCCCAGCACAAAATCACCGTACTGCAGCGCCAGGCCAGCCAGGCTGCTGGTGGTCCTGGCCGCGGGCGTTGTCTCGCATCGGTGCTGGCGGCCACGATGATGGGCATGCGGGAACCCATCGTGGAGCTGCGGAGGCAGGTCGTGGACGCCTGGCTGTCGATGTGGATGCTGCAGCCCACGCTGCACGCCCGGGTGCGGAAGGTGCGGTAAGCAATGCGGCGTGCCCTGAACAGGGCAGATGGCCACCACTGGCTGCGCGTGCGAGGGTCCATCGGCACGATCCATGCCACAATCCTGGACTTCGGCTGGGACCACGATGCGGGTACCGGCCTCCAAGGGGGGAGCGGACTTCTCCCCCATCACTCGAGAGATGGGCCGCTTCGAGAAGGAGAGCGCGATGTCGGACTTGGGGCTCAACCATCCGGTGGAGGAGGGGGAGGAGGAGGAGGAGGAGGAGGAGGAGGAGGAGGAGGAGGAGGAGGAGGAGATGGAGGAGGAGGAGGAGGAGGAGAAGGAGGAGGAGGAGGAGGAGGAGGAGGAGGAGGAGGGGGAGGAGGAGGAGGAGGAGGGGGAGAAGCAGGAGGAAGAGGAGGAGGGGGAGGAGAAGGAGGAGGAGGAGGAGAAGGAGAGCGCGATGTCGTGTCTGGTGGACAATGGCCGAGTGAGCGGCGCCTGCGGGCAGGCTGCATCCTAAGCGACGGCGTGTGCAAGCGATGCGGTCGGGCCCAGGAGGACCCTCTCCACAGGAACTGGACGTGCGCCGATTGCGTGGGGCACGAGGCCTCCTCGAAGGCGGACGCGCTCCTGCCGAGGGCGCTGGCGGGCTATGAGGCGAAGCCTCCGTTATGGCTGCGGGCCGCAGCGCTAGCCCACTTCACGACGCCGACCTTCGACGAGGAGAAGGTGGCGCAGGCGGCGGTGGCCATCGGCGGGCCGCTCGTCCACTATCGCGAAGCCACTGGTGTGACCACTGTCTTCGGAGACGGCTCAGGCGGGCGCCTCTCCGCCGACCTGAGAAGAAAGATGTGCGGCGCTGCGATCGCGGTCCTCGCCCTGGGACCCGACGGTGAGTGGCAGGCCGTTGCTGGAAGCTCTGTGCCACACGTCGGCTCGCTGCAGAGAGCGCCGCGGGCTGAGATTTTAGCTTTCGCGCTGGCGCTTGAATCCACCTCTGGCGCGATGCACCTCGTGACCGATCACGGCCAGTTTCAGAGTGCCTGGAGGGCTCGCCTGTCAACCCCCTGCGACCGCAGCCTCGCGAACGAGGATCTGTGGCAGCGGGCGCGGGAGGCGGTGGCAGCTCGGGGTGGGCGAGGCAAGCGGCCGAAGCGGGCCGGCAGGCCAGCGTGGTTGGCCCTGAGCCTCGCACGGACGAGTTGGATTCCATCGCCGCCCTCGCCAGGCTTCGCGCGCGCAGGGCGATCGAGCGGGCGTTGGAGGACGACGCCGAGAAAGGCGTGCGCCCGTCTGGGTCGACGCGACCAGTCCGCACAGCGGCTCGCTTGGCAGTGGCGGAGGGCGCCCACCTGATGGTGCGTTGTGGCAGCACGTGGACCTACCAGAAGTGCCACAGACTCGTGCAGGGTCGCTGGTTTTGCAGTCCTGCAGCACGCCTTGCACTGGACCTGCTGTTGCCAAGACCAGCTTGGCGCTGACGGCCATCTCGCCATCGCTTGGACGTCCATTCCCTGTGCTTTTTTCGGTTTCGTGCGTGGTTTCTGCGCCAAATGATCAAGGATGCTCCTCGATGGCCCTCGCCGAAGGAAAAAAAGCACACGTCCGAGCGATGCCAAGCCATTGAAGGTGGCCAAGCTTTGGCGCCCGTGGGTGCCGCCCCGCGCGGCGTAGCGCTGCACGCTTCGCACGTCCTGGCCTCTGTGGCCGAATTGCGCACCCCAACGCAGCCGATGAGCACTGCTTCCCTGCGCCTGCCAGGCGTGCCATGGTGTGTACAGCGCAGGGCCACATTCGCCCTGGGACTGGGCCCGCGGCCGACAGAAGAGCACATGGCTGCCGATGGGCCAAAACTGGAGCGCTTCTTGGGTTGAAGATGTGAGAGCGCCTCTCGTCGGGCAGCGCTCGTGCGCCACGTGGCAGCTCAGCGTGGCCGAGCGCTTCTTGGTGGCGTGTCCGACGGGGCACCGCCTGCAACGGCGCTCGGGGGTGCCCGTCGTCCGATGGGGTGCCTCCCGTCTGGGTGGTGCATGGTCACGTGGCTCGGGGGCGGCAGCTCCCAGTCCAGGCGGCGGCGCTTCACCTCAAGGAGGTCTGCTTCGGGCCCCGGAAGTGGCCAACACGTTCCAAAACGCCCCCCCCCCCTCTCTCCCTCCGCTCTCCCCCCTCCTCCCCCCTTCCCCCCCCCCTCGCCTTCTCTCTTCCATCCGCAACAAGGCGGACCCGATGGGAGGACCGCTATGGCAGACCCTGGTGGTCGGACCCCGATGGGTGGACCCTTATGGGCAGACCCATATGGGCTAAGTATCTTCGGCTTTGCAGGCAAGAAAGCATATGGATCGTGTGAACAAGCGCTCGTGCAGTATCTACTCCGTCCGTGATAGTTGCGGTTCGCAGCGTAACACACCACATCGGTATTCCTGGAAACCTCTAGCACACACATAACCAACATGTACGCAATACCAACACGGGGAACCAGTATGGCGACACACGCGTGGGAAACAACACGTTGTCAGATTTTCAGGCGTTCCGTACTTAGAAGCGCAGCACTGCTTTCATTTGAAGGATGAAACAACGACCCTACCCTGGGTTACAAGTGCGTGGTCGCAAGGTTTACCCTGTCAGCCCACAGGAGCTTCCGCGCACAGCGCATCGTAAACCAGAGTAGGGGCGTTTTTTAAGCCCGTGATTCATACGCATACCTGCACATGCACAGTTTAAAGCACAGCCAACTCTCCCCTGTGCAGCGGCTCGGCATTGCAAATATTGGGACGCCACGCTGGCGCGCCCGTCCCCCACGACACCTCGCGGCCCTCGGCAACGAGTGGCCTGCCCCCCACGCGGACGAAGGGCTCGAGGGCGCAGACCGCTCACAGAGGCACCCGCCGGAGGTCGTGCTCGCGCTCGTGCAGCACCGTTTCCACGGGCGAGGAGCAGGCGGCCGCATGGCGCAGAAGCGCCAGTCGAGGGGCACGGGAGTGAGCGGCGCGCAGGTGATCAAATCCGGAGCTCGCTCTTGGCTCCTCGACCATCGGCGCGACGTCCCCGAGGTTCGCGCGAGGCGGACCCAAGAGGGCCTCCGAGGTCGCAAGGGGACACAGCACTGCCCCCCGAGAGGGCTGACGCAGCCCCCCCACCACAGTGGCCCAAGCATGGCTCGAAGCCCCGAAGGACCGCAGCTCGTCTTAGAATCGTACCTGGCTGGCCTGTTGGGCATGCGCGAGGCGTCAACGCCCCCCCGTGGGCGGCGCGACTCCCACGTGTGCGCACGCTGCTCGGAGAGAGGAAGCACGCTGCTCGGAGAGAGGAAGTGACTCCAACTCCCGGTCGAACAACCCTGTGGATGCCGCGCCAATGGACACCCTAACAGCCTTCTCATTGAATCTGACATGTGTTTACTAGGCCGGAATACATGTTCTAAA